GTGTTTCTAGATAATTATCTCTTTTGTTCCTCCATTGCTTTGTGTCAACCTTTCGCTAAGCTTGCAAAAACAAGATATGTTTGAAAGCCTTTCACTCTATTTCCTGCTTCTGAAGTGTGAATGCTTCAATTATTTGAAACTCTCTGAGGTCTCCTTCAGAGAGGGCTGTCAGAACATTGCAGTTTCACTAGTGAAAATCTCTCTTGGGCTCAGCACAAAGTTTGTGATTTAATGAGATATGCATTTCAAACAATGTAACAGCAACTTGGTAGGTATTTAAGAGCAAAACTTTGATAAAGGTTCTGTGTTCCTCTGGGGACCTTTGATTTTTCTGGTTGAAGTTAATTCCTAGGAGGGTGTTTATTATGAGACTGACACTTATTGCCTCAGACTTATAAATGAGTTTGCTCATCTTGCAGGAAAACGGGAATTTCATCTCTCACTTTGCTTTCCTATTTGGAAGGAATATAGGACTTTCCAAAGCCAGGGGTAAACCACATGCCTTCTTGGAACTCTTGGAATATCCTTTGAGATAATGGATTTGTATATCAATGGTCATAGCAAAGCATAGTGTGTAATCATGCCTATAAGCAGATAGACTAATGGTTGGGAGGCCTCTGAGAAGTTACCTGGTCCAACTAGATTTTACAGATGAGAAATCTACGATCCAGAGAGTTAACTGGGTTCCCTAAGACCACCAAGCAGATTACTGTTGGCTGGAGTACTCGTTCTCTTGACTCCTGGTCCAGCACTCGTTCCATGTTATAGAAGAGCCTGTGTTTTCTCGACATTATTTTGGAGAGTTCCTTTGCTTTGACTGGCTTCAAAGGAAAAATGAAATTCTTAATTTAAGCTTCTGCATTGCACAAGACAACATTTAAGACATAATATGATACAGATATCCCTTATTATCTGAACTCTCGTTCTCTAAACACAGGAACTGTATAGATTCAGAAAAACATTTTTGAGATGGGACTGGTATCCCTTGCTATGCATACTCCTCCCACTGGTATTAAAATGATGAAAACCAAATACTGTAGATTCACTCAGTAGCTGAACTTACTTTTCTAATTCTTCCTCATGCACCAAGTAGATTTAAAAATAGGGTTACTTTGATTTGCAATAGGATGAATATAGGAAGATTATGTATTTCAACAATTAAAGAATCTCTGAATTTTAAGGAATACCAAAGATCATCTAGCTCAAGCACATATTTTTTTCTGAAGAAGGCATTTAACTGTTACATTTGACCCAATTTACTTTCTCAGTTGTAAGGGACCGGGGACCAGCATCTGGAAGCTCTAAGGTAGTTGACCATTGATGTACACAGAGGCTGACTTGAATGGCCTACTTCTGTCAATGACCGCTTCTAGTGACATTGTTCTCAGTAGTATCACCTAAAAATATTATAGCATCAAATCAAAGATCATTTTTAGTCCTTATGGGAATTGTTGATCCTTATTTCTACTGTCTTGACTTCTATGATACCCACACTATTTGGTTCTCCTTGAAACTGTCTGATGGTTTCTCCTCTGTTTCACTTGTAGAATCTTCTGCCTTCCTTCACCTCTTGAATGTTAGTCTGTTTAGCTGTCAGGGTTCTGTTCTCATCTGGGTTCTTCTCACTCTATGTAATGTTCCTATGTGCATACAAAATACTTCATGTACATTTGATCCATTAGACAAGCAAACAGGTGATTCCATTTATTCTTAACATTTTTATTACCACCTATATGCTGATAGCTCCAAATTCTGTATAATTTTGATGATCCGGACTCTCACACACACATATATATCAACATGTTAGAGCTCCATGTATATGTTACCTAGACACTTCTAACTCAATACGCAAAATGAACTCATCTTCGGTATCCTCTATCTCAGTTGTAGGACCCACCCATTTCCCCAAGTTAGAAACTAATCATCCTTTTTCTTCTGCTCTCTTACCAACTCCAATCCAACCTACAGTAAGTCCCCTACATGCAAACACAAACAAGTCCCGTTCTGAAAGTGCGTTCGTAAGTCCAACAAAGTTAGCCTAGGTACCCAACTAACACAACTGGCTGTATAGTACTGTACTGTAATAGGTTTATAACACTTTGCACACAAATAATATATAAAAACAAACACAAAAAGTAAAGCATTTTAAATCTTACAGTACAGTACCGTGAAAAGTACAGTACAACAGCTGGCATACAAGGGGTAGCATCGAGTGAACAGGCAAGAAGAGGTACTGACCGGAGGAGGGAGAGGAGGCGGGACATGGTAGAGCTAAAGGATCATCAGCAATAGGAGATGGAGGGCAAACTGCAACTTCACTCATGCCTGACGTTGTTGGCACAGGTTCGGGTTCCTTGCTGGAATCAATTCTATCTACCCTCTTGAAAAAACGGTCCAGTGATGTCTGGGTAGTAGCTCTTTTTTTCTCGTCATAGATGACACGGTAGCACTGGATTGCATTCTGAATGGCTGCTGCAACCTTCGTGTACCATTCTGTGTTCAGGTCCTGTGCCTCAAAAACTAACAGTGCCCCCTCAAATAAAGAAATCCCCTTGCCATTTCCTGTGTCGTGAATCTCTTTGGTTCTTCAGTTACTTCCTCTTGTCGCTCCACTCTCTCAATTATTTTCACTTTTGTTTTCATCGTTATCTCTTGGCACTTCTTAGCAGTACCAGCTACATCACCGCTGCTTTTACGCTTCTTTCAGACATCCTGGGCTTGCAATAAAGATACTGTACTACTGTACTCTATATGGTACTGTCCAGTAAAGCACACAAAAACACAACTACTTATAGAGGATGCACGCACGTGACAATGTACACCAGATACTTGAACTAACTTACGTGATTGGACACATGAACACACATTTGCATCTTTGAAAGTTCACAACTTGAAGGTTCGTATGTAGGGGACTTAACTGTATTACAAAATTCTGTCAATGCTTTCTTCTAAGAAGTTCTTGCATTCATTTTGTTCTCCATCCTTATTATCAGCTCTGGTGAGATTTTCATCATTTCTTTTTGTGGTTACTTCAAGAGCCTCCTAACCTGCATCTTTGCTTTTGGATATGGTCTTTCAAATCCCATTCTCTGTACAGATACCACAATATCAGTATCTGAAACATACATCTGATTCTATTCTTTTTTTTTCTATTTTCAACAACTCTCCAATTTCCAGTGGATAAAATAAATCCAAGGTCCTTACCATGTCCCACCAGACCTTTCTTATGAACCTCTTAAGCTTTATCTTACAACACTGTCTCTCACTTCATGCTTTAGCTGCATGTTATTGCTTGTATCTCTCATCCAGAAACCATGCTACTCTTCACTTTCAGGCCTTTATTAATGCCACCTTTTCCTTCTCCTCCTCTCTTCTACCTGTTCCTACTTATTTTTTATGAATCAGCCCTAGAAGCCTTCTACGAAGCCACCATGAAGGCTTTAATGATTTCCTTAGTTGAATTATGTGCTTCTGCATACTCACAGTCACTGTTACTTCACTTATGACATTGTTTTATGACGGCCTGTTTACATATCTGTCTCCCCTACGATACAGGAGTCTTTAAGTATGTATACTGTGTCCTTTTTATTTCTACTCCCAAGACCTGGACTAATGCTTGAAACATAGCAGACCCTCAATAAATATCTGTAGGATGAATGCTAGTGAGAGAGGAAGGCTTTTGTTAGCCTTCATCCTATAAATCCAGAAGACTCCAACCTGGCAGCAGTAGAGGTTGGGTGGTTTATTTTGGGAGCTTTATTGCTGGCTTGATCTGTGATCTCTCAGATTTATGGACTGTGGAGCAAGGCAAATGTGGAGAGGGATAAGCCCTTTGGTACGTTCTTGTTTACCCTGGTAAGAACACAATTCTGTTCATTCAGCTGCATAAATATTTCTGAAATGTGTTCACTATTTTAAATCCAGACTACCACATTGCTTGCCCTGGTGCCTGAGCAGACCCTCCATAACTGGTATCTTTGCCTTAAGTCTTGTCTCTTCTAATTCTTCTCCCACATATACTGTAACCTCAGTAATCTTTCTCAGATGCTAAAATTCTTTATTGGGTTTCAAAGCTCTTAGACAAAAGTCCAAACTCCCTAATGCAGCGTATAATAATTGCATTTTATGATCTGACCCTTGCTTATTTCTCCAACCCATGGCTCACCATGCTGTCCTGGCTCATCTGGGCTCCTGTCAGACTGAATGGTTTTTGGTTCATTTGACCTGCTTTATTTCACTTATTTCTGGGTCTTTGGATTTTCCTTGGGATACTCATACTTTTTACTCCCATCCTCGTTACCAAGTTAACACTTAACTCATCATTCAGGTCATAGCTTAGGTGTTAGCTTCCTCCAGAAAATCTTCCTTGATGTCTGAATCCAGGTTAGGAATCTTTTCCCTCTCCTTCTCTACCAGTTTTTCTGCCCATAGTCTCTTGCAACACTCCTGAACTTCCCTCTTATATAATATCATGCGACCATAATTGCCTTTCTTATTGTCTTGGTGACCTACTAAACTAAGTCCTGAGAAGGCAGAAACCAGCACCTAGTACAGGAACTTGCACAAATTGGTGCTGAATATTTATTGAATGAATGAATGTATGTGTGATATAAAGCCATTTTATTTTTTTATTAAAGCATACTTGATTTACAATATTGTGTTGGTTTCAGGTGTACAGCAGAGAGATTCAGTTACACATATGTATATATATTCTTCTTCAGATTCTCTTCCCTTATAGGTTATTACAAAATACTGAGTATAGTTCCCTGTGCTATAGAGTAGGTCCTTGTTGGTTATCTATTTTATATATAGTAGTGTGTATATGTTAATCCAAACCTCCTATATAAAGTCATTTTATATTGTTCACTGGATTTCATCTTGCCATGCTGTTGAGAAATTATAGGATAATAACAACTGGAACTCTGGAGTTAATTTTTTTTTTTTTAACTAGCTGCATATGAGACTGTTTCTGACAGTCCTGTGTTTGTTGTTTTCTTCAGGTGTACAATGAGAAACCTGGGTTTTGTGACATCTGAGTCTTTTCCCAACTTAGTGAGTCTGTCTGGATCTCTGACTAACCATAAGCATGAAGGCTCTTATCAAAATAAACCACTAATAAGGGGAATCTGGTGACTGATGGAGATAAGGTAGGTAATCTCATTTATACTTCTGTATGGTGGGAAGTCCCTTCTCTCTACCAAAGGGAGTGGGTGCCTCTTAAGTCACTGGCAGTGGTCTAATATGTCAAAAATAGCTTTCTGGAACCATCATGGATTTGGTCTGGTTTCATGACCAGAAGGTGGGCTCAGGAAGATGAGGTGTTAAGTATTGTTGAAGAGCATTTTATCTTCTTGGGAGGTGTAGGGCTGAAATTTATAAGTGACTCAGCAAGGCTGCCCTATTTTTAGGCCTAAAGGTTAGCGTGCAACACTTCAGAGAGTGGGCGACTGGGAGGAAGTGTTACCAGCTCAACTGAGTCTTGTTTTATTTATAAATACTGTGTTGATTAATTTTAAATTGGTTATATTTAATTTGGGACCTGAAATAGATCAGACCCCCTTCTTAGTTCCCTCTTGAGTCAAAAGACACCAAAATAAGAATTTACATATGCATTACCAAATAGTGGGTGTGCTGTGTTTGTGGCTTTATTTGTTGAATTGGGTACTAATGGAATACGTAGAAAAATATACCTTTCCTTTCTTGCAAATGAGTCAAACGTCCAAGGATTTGTCCCTTAAGAAACTCATTTTATCTCCTATTTCTCCTGTAGAGAAATAATCCTTAACTGTAGCTTGACCAGTTATTTCTCATGTGTGAAATTGGGCATTAGAAGGTCTGGGGAGGGAGATAATGACTCAATCTGGATGAATCACTACCACTCGTGTAAATTGAGGAGTGTGGGTTTCATGACCTCATATACTCTGAGTCCAGAAGGTCTGTGAGGGTGAAAATTTGCCTCCAGATAAATTCTAATGAGGTGAGTTTGGCGAATGATCAAGTCATAAACAAACTTTCTTCCTAATTCATACTTTGTTTGGGTCAGTAGTATTAACTGTGACAGATGAATATTATTACTGGTATATTGCATTTAGACAACCGGAGTTTGGTCAAAAGAAACCTTGACTTAGAGTGACAAGAACTGGCCTCTGCCTCAAGTTGTGTGATTCTGGGCAATCAGTTAAAATATTTGAGCCTCAATTCCTCATCTTTAAAATGAAACTAATTTGAACATGACACAGAGGTCAGGAAAAATATCACGTGTTGATGGAAATTTTTTGGTGTAATTGGCTAAACTAGGAAACTCAAAGGTGTTGTAACGTGTGTTATGGTTAAATCTAGTCAACAAACTATACCCCCAAATTTACGTACATGTACACACACATGCTTTCTAGTTTTTTTCAGGTTCTATTTCCCATGTACTTTCATGATGGATTAGTATACACTTCACCCAACATCCAGGTGGCAATTGACAAATTCATAAGTTTAGTTTCTTTTTAATGTACATAACTGCCACATCCATGTGGGAGGATGAACTAAGATTTACTGTGCATCTATTCTAGGTTAGATGAAAACTCAGTGTGGTACATAAATTACCTTCAAATCAATATCCGGAGGCAGGCATTACTCTGTTTCAGCCAGGATAATAATTATGAGGGAAATAAAGGGTGAAAGTTCAGATCCTGGAGTCAGGTTTCAGTTTCCAGACCTGAATAGCATGTAAATGCATATGAGAGTTTTAATGTCATTTCAGAATTTTGTATCGCACATTTATTTATTCTTCTACTCTGTCCCTGCTCCTGTCTCCAGAGGCCACTCGTGTTATCAGTTGTTTTATGTATTCTTCCAGGGATTCACAAGAATAGATATAGCACACTCATGTACACAAGCAATATCTCCTTTTATTATTTTTCTCTTAAATAATAGTGTACTTTCTAGTTGTTCCACTCCCTAATTTTTTTTGCTTCACAGTGTACCTTGAAGATGATTCCATATTAAGTATATAAAGAGCTTCCTCATTCATTTTGAAGACTGTATAGTATTCTGTTGTATGGATGTGTATGTGTGTGTGTGTGTGTGTGTGTATGCATGTTATTTCTAGTTGTTTTCTCTTACAAATAATGCAGCAAAGAATAACTTATACATGTTATTTCAAATTTGTAAGATATATTTATAGGATAAATTTCTGAAAGAGGAATTGCTGTGTGTAGGTGATAATGCATTTGAAGTTTGTATAGATATAGCCAAGTTTCTTATAATAGGGTCATGCTGATTTACACTTTGGCTAGTCATATGTAAGTGTGCCTGTTTCTATACACCATCACCAATGGGATACATTATCCAAATTTTTTCCCTCATCTTATAAGTAGAAAATTATATGTCAGTGCAATTCTAATTTGTATTTCTTATTGTAAGAGAAGGAGGAACTTTTCATGTGTTTAATAATCATTTGATTATTTTTTGACTGCCCAAAGGAATGTTTCTTTATATTTGAACTCCTTTTAACTGGGATAAGACTCATGTGGACTTTGCTGGGTCAGTATTCCCAAAATGATGTGCCATATCAATATTTAATTTTTGAAAGGCTTCCTTATTTTTAGAAATGTTTTCTTGAATTTTTAAAACAAATTTATCATGTTTAATTTCCAGATTTCTTCTTTGGGCATTCCAATTATGTATACGTTGAATCCCCTTTATCTATCTTTCTTGTCATTTTCTCTCAAATTTTAAACTATTATGATTTACTTTTTATTTTTCTTGTTTCACATCAGTATCTACTTCTGTCCTTGTGTTTTTAATGCTATTTTTTCTGTCATATTTCTTCCAATTTTATCTTCATTTTAATATTTTGTTTCTTCTTTTCTGAGCCCTTCAGTTCATGTTTTGTTTCCTTTAGTGTCAGCATCTCATCCTGAAACACATATATTTTTGTTTAGTCTTTTTTATAAGGATGATTAATTAATTAACTCTGGGGAACAATTCCTGATGGAATATTTTGTGATAATTTTTATCTGTCCTGTGATTTTTTTTCTGGTGGCTCTTCTTTATTTGACTTTTGTTTCATATTTTTCTTTCTCCATTCCTGTAGGATTTTTGTATAGATACTGTGCTGGTCTTCTATGTTCACTATTCATTTATAAAGGAAGTAAAGTTTTTCTGGGTCAGGTATTGACAGAAAATTCACGTGGAATTGGCACTATATTCCAGGCTACCTGGGACTTCCTAACGATCCGTGAACTTGTGGGGAGTTTATATAGGAATTACTTTTCCCAGCCTTGGCATTGTTTATGATGTGAGTTCTCTCTTCTGCTTTGTTGGTACAGAGACAGCTTCCTGAAAATATTGCTTGTTTGTGTGATCATTTTTTTAGCTCCACCCTTATTTACCTCTTCCCCCAGTGTGTATAACACCATCCTGCTGTTAAAAACAAAGGCTTTAGCAATCAGGACACAGGTTATATTCCTCTCTTTTAAAAAACTGTTTTTACTATTTTTTTTTTTTTCCTGAGACCTACTGCCATGATTTCCTCTACCTGATTCTTCCTTCATGTGCCCTTGCTTTATTCCCATGTGTGAACAGCCCCCAAACCTATCCTGTACTTTTAGAGATTTTTATCTGTTTCCATTTTTACCAAAAATGGAAGTTTAATTTTGATTTTTAGTTCTCATTCTGTGGAATAGAAGAAGGAAATGCCCACTTCGCTCTGCCATCATTAGATTGGGTATCCTTTGCATTATCCTTTGGGATTTTTAAAACTTTTCAAAAAAACTAGGCATGATTCTTGATATTTCAGCCCTTATTAATCAGTTTATTTTGATTTAGCCCAAGATGTCCAGTTGCTTAACAGACTTCCTCAGAGGAATTCCACCAATACTTCAAATTTACAATGTTTAGAGATAAATTCAACCTCTTTTTTCACAATACTGATTTTTCTGGAATTAATAAACCTCCCCATCAGCAGCCTTCAAACACTACCACTGTGCTTTACTTACTTATGTGTTCTTCATCCCATACCTGTATAATTGGTCACCAACTTCTGTAACAACTGCAACAGTAATTATACCCTGCTATGTAGGAGACAGTGTGATGGGTAATGGGTAGTAATGCCCTTGGACTTGAGTTAAAGGTGTTTCTGCCTTGGAGCCCTTAAGCTTTTGAGAACCCTGCATGTCCTAGATCCACATCCAGAATGATTTTAAAATTCACAGGCATCTCTTTCACTTAGGGTCTGGAGCTCAGCACCTGTACAAATGTTCTTGTGGCCCAAATAAATGCTTTTCCACATCTCTTAACCTATTTCCTTGAAAGAAAAAGTACTCCAAAGCCACAAAAACTGGTGGATTCTGCCACTGCTGTGTTGAATATGGACACTCCTTCAAAGTAGGAAGGATGCCAACGCAGGGGACACGAGTTCGAGCCCTGGGGAAGATCCCACATGCCGCAGAGCAACTAAGCCCGTGTGCCACAACTACTGAGCCTGCATGCCACAATTACTGAAGCCTGAACACCTAGAGCCCGTGCTCTGCAACAAGAGAAGCCACCACAATGAGAAGCCTGCACACCACAACAAAGAGTAGCCCCTGCTCACGGCAACTGGAGAAAGCCTGTGTGCAGCAATGAAGACCCAACGCAGCAAAAATAAATTAATTAATTAAAAAAAAAAACCTATAAAAAGGGCCAACCTTGCTTCTTGCCAGAGAGGCACTATACTAATTTAATTACTAAGCACCTGGAGTCAGAATACCAGAGCTCAAACCCTGACACCACCACTTAGCAGCTGTGTGACCCTGAGCAAGGTTCCTGACCTTTCTATGCCTCCTCTGTAAAATGGGGATAATAACAGCACCATCATTGGGTTAGGTTAATTAATGAGATAAAACATATAAAAGACTTGCCCAGGGCATGAGCACAGGAAGCCCTCAATAAATATTATTTCCAGAGAAAAATGCCCCAAAGCCAAGGAGCAATATACCTGAGGATTCTTGTAAAAGGTTATCATTACACCCAAAATTCTAACACATTTGGTCTCTGGACTTGTGCATACTATAGATAATAGTAGTAATAAAAAAAATAATAATTCATGCTACTCTTATAGGTCTAGCTGTAGCATGGTGAAGCCAGTTCTTTACATTAGCAACTAAGTGGAGGT